TCATCGTGCCGCCAAACTTCTAAACCATATTAATTAGGATCGTGCCGAAACCGTTTCGTATTTCAAAAAATATTAAAGCAGATGTAGTTGTTTAATATAAGGAACAATTTCTTAGGCTTATTTCTTGGGTATTCAAAATATTTACCCTGGATTCTTCACTTTATAAGTGTGACAAAGTCGCTAAACAACTCCAAGACGCCAAGACAAAACGATTGACAATGCTCTCTGTTCATTGGCTCGATAACCACGCACTTTTCAGTTTGATTTATTGACTTGTGTTTCTCAGAGATAGATTTTCGGAGAATTTATAGTAATACTGAGAAGTTTGGATTAAAATTTCTGTTCCCGCCGTAAAACAAACTTATCACATTACTGTCTGCAGTAAGTACCAAGCACCGTGAATGCTAATTTATGCTAATTAGTTTTTATTGGGCATTTTTACAAGTCTTCTCGTAGATAAGCCGCACCCCCGATTTAGGAACGATTTTTTTGGAAAAAAAGTGCGGCGTATACATGGGTAAATACGGTATACTGTGAATATTGCATGTGCTACATGTGTTGGAAATAAGCTGGAACAAAATATAGTTCAACATAACTCTCACAATTATAACAATGATCTTTATTAATTCAAAAAGTCTCTATTGATATTATTAGCCTGCATAGGGGTGATCTTGAGATTCCTGTGGAGAATAGAAAGATGTAATGACTGGTTTTCCTTTTCTGCACAGGGATCCCAGAGGGCTGGTTACACAGTCTGTAATTGCCCATTTATAAATATTTGCAGCAAATTTTATTGCAAGAGCAGAGCACTTGACTATTTTCCCTTAATAAAACATCCTTTCGATTCAAGAAAGACATTTTTTTTTTCACTTATGTTGTCAACCATGCGCAAAATGAGACATCTTGAATCACCAAACACATTCATTGGGCGACCCATAGCCTGCATACCAGCACTAGGGGAGGGGGGATAGAAATAGGAGCAGAGAAACAAGRGCTCTTATTCCATCTGCTGTATTCCATATGCCCTTCCCCTCACTTAGAGCTGCCAAGCAGGGTGTTCAGATGTTCGTATTAGCTCTTTAGCTATTAAGGTACAGAAGGCTTTGTGCTATTTACTGTTCTGTCTCCCCTCCCCTAATGCTGYTACGCAGGCTCGGCGACCCAATATACTCCATTTGCCATTTTGACAGGTAGCAGCGCCATCAAAGTAAGACAGGAGTTGACAGACAAACTTCACACCTAAGAACATTTACACGTATCCTTTATTACAAACTCAACTGCTGTCTCGCTTTGATGCAATGGCTCGGTTACCTTTTAAAGATAGCACTGTAAAATGGAGTATAGAGTTCTTGGAAAATGTAGAGTATCAAACATGTTTGTTAGAGGTTTTAACGTATTTGGCAACGCAACAATGAGTCAGATGATCTAATGACATGGTGATCCAGCAAATTATGGTTTATAGTTACAGGCAGGCCCGTAGAAAGGGGAGGGGCCCGTGGACCCAAAAATAATAATAATATATAAGCGAARYAGTAAAATTATTCAGACATAAAAGGAAATATGAAGGTATAAATGGAACTTCTACCTCAGGTACACAATTCTATGGGATTTGATTTGAGCAGATTTGATGTAAATGATCTAATTCA